AAAATAGAGTTGCCATATGATCCAGCAATCCCACTCTTGGGCATATACTCAGATAAAATTCTAATCTGAAAAGACACATGCGTCCCTATGTTCATAGCAGTAGTATTTACAATAGTACTTCCATGCCAAGACATGGAAACAACCTAAATATCCAACAAGAGGTGAGTGGATAAAGAAAATGTGGTACATATATAAAATGGAGTATTACTCAACCATCAAAAAGAATGAAATAATGCCATTTGCAACAATACAGATGGACCCAGAGGTTATAAAACTAAGTGAAGTAAGTCAGAGAAAAAACAAACATGATATCACTTACATATGGAATCTAAAATATGATACAAATCAACCTATCTACAAAACAAAAACAAACTCACAGATATGGAGAACAGACTTGTGGTTGCTAAGGGGGCAGGATGGATTGGGAGTTTGGGATTAGCAGATACAAACTATTAGATACAGAATGGATAAACAAGTTCCTACTATATAGCATAGGAAACTAGATTCAATATCTTGTGACAAAACATAATGGAGAAGAATATGAAGAAGAATATATGTGTATGTATAACTAAGTTACTTTGCTGAACAGGAGAAATTAATATATTAGAAATCAACTATACTTCAATACATTTTCTTAATTAGCATTTCATAGACATGTTAAAAACCTAAAAGAAAGTGTATCAGCATAAGTGAAAAGAATCAGGAAGCTCTAGATAAGTCTAGCCAATCATAATTCCATTAAACATATTTTAAGAAGGTGAAATTTGAATACATGACAAATTAAAGGGGTGGAAAAAGATATTCCATGCAAATAAAAGCCACACAGAGGTTAGGATAGCTATACTTATATCAGACAAAATAAACTTTAAGCAAAAATTTCAAAAAGAGACAAAGAAGACTTCTTCATACCATATACAAAAATAAATGGAAACTGGATTAAAGACTTAAAATGTAAGATCTGAAACTCCTAGAAGAAAACATAGGCAGTGCAGTCTTTGACATCAGTCTTAGTAAGATTTTTTTAAATTTATCTCCTTCAGGCAAGAAAAAGAAAAGTAAAAATAAGTAAATATGACTATATCTGAAAACCTAAACTGAAAACTCAAAGCTAAACTGAAAATTGCTGCACAGCAAAGGAAACTAAATGAAAATATACCCTACTGAATGGGAGGACTGGTGCTGAAGCTCCAATACTTTGGCCACCTGATGTGAAGAGCCGACTCATTGGAAAAGACCCTGATGCTGGGAAAGATTGAGGGCAGGAGGAGAAGGGGACGACAGAGGATGAGATGGCTGGATGGCATCATCAACTCAATGGACATGAGTTTCAGCAATCTCCAGGAGACACTGAAGGACAGGGAATCCTGGAGTACTGCAGTCCACGAGGTAGCAAAGAGTCGGACACGACTTAGTGACTGAACAACAGCTGAATGAGAGAAGATATTTGCAAAGGACATATCTGATCAGGAGTAAATATCTAAAACATACAAAGAACCCAGACAACTCAATATTTAAAAAAAATAACCCAATTAAAAAATGGGCAGAAGACCTGAATAGACATTTTCCCAAAGAAGACATACATATGTCCAACAGACATATGACAAGATGATCAACACTACTAATCATCAGGGAAATAACATCAAAACCACAATGAGATAGCACCTTGCACCTGTCAGAGTGACTCTCATCAAAAAGAGAACAAATAACAAGTGCTAGTGAGAATGTGGAGGAAGGGGAACCCCTCTGACACTGTTGGTGGGAAAATAAATTGGTGCAGACACTATGGAAAACAGTATGGAGATTGCTTTAAAAATTAAAAATAGAACTACCATACAATCATGCAATTCCACTTCTGGTACTTTCTTAAGGAAAAAAACCACTAATTTAAAAAGATTAATGAACCCCTATGTTCATTGTATATGGGCATGTATATCCCCCAGCATGTATAAAGATTCTACCTTTCTTCCACAGTATCTGCATCAATTTCTCAATGTGTATTTTCATTTGGCATACAATGTCATTCTAAGTAAAGGAAAATTTAAAATTTCAAGCATCAGCATGAATGTTACCATTCATCGTTGTACTGTACAATGCTAGTTTTAAATGCAAATATAAGAGCATTTAACTTGCATTTGCAGTCACCAAAATCACACAATTCATATTTCACAGCTTGTACATGCGTATGCATTTCATTCTTACCAGAAGAGTAGAAATGCCACACATGACTGACCAAACTGTTTATATTTCTTTATATGTGCACATTCTACCAACACTTTCTTACCTTCAGCTTACTAATAAATAGAGATGGACTGAAAGAAAACTATGAGTTGTCCTATCTTTCATTTTCCTTCTATGACATCATTTTCAGAGTGGCTAACAGTTAGAAAATAATAACGCTCCTCAGTTATTCATATTTTATATAACACCATTGCTCTTCTATGCCCAAAGCAAGTTCTGTTCCAAAGGAACCAGAAAGTCCTCTCAGCACTGTCAGTACCCCCTGGGGCCCCAGGTACAGAGGTACTGATATAGAACCGGCACACAGAAGTATTCTCAAAAGAAAATTCAGACATCATTACTTGATATGAATATTTCATTAAGCAAGAAACAAACTGGGAATTCAGTTCGGTTTAGTTGCTCAGTCGTGTCCAACTTTTTGCGGCCCCATGGACTGCAGCACACCAGGCCTCCCTGTCCTTCACCAACTCCCAGAGTTTACTCAAATTCATGTCGATTGAGTCAGTGATGCCATCCAACCATCTCATCCTCTGTCATCCCCTTCTCCTCCTGCCCTCAACCTTTCCCAGCATCAGGGTCTTTTCAAATGAGTCAGCTCTTCACATGAGGTGGCCAAAGTATCAGGGCTTCAGCTTCAGCATCAGTCCTTCCAATGAACACCCAGGAATGATCTCCCTTAGGATGGACTGGTTGGACCTCCCTGCAGTCCAAGGGACTCTCAAGAGTCTTCTCCAACACCACAGTTCAAAAGCATCAGTTCTTCTGGTGAATTAGGAGTCTTCAAACTAGACGTCGTTAGAAGCTTAGCTTTCAGTAGTCACAGCTCAGTTCATAAAGCATGAATGAATGAGTTCATTTTTGGGTGGTTACTAACATTTCCACTTTTTTAGAGTAATATAATTATTAAACTTACTAGTTTGTAGCTGACTGGCTACAAAGCCGTCACTGACATTAACATGTGAGTGGTAAGGTCACACTAACATGAAGAAAGCTTAAATCTGTTTAAGGTCAGAGCCTGTGTTTTGGAGAAAACACCCTGACAACATAACAATGGAGTTTGCAGTCAGAGCAGGTATCAGTGCAATTCGTAGAAAGAAATTAGGTAGTTGCTTGGATTAGGGGATGGAAAATAGGGTTTGGTTGCTAAAACCTTGTCCACCGAAGCCAAACAGAAATACAGAGACAGAGCTTCGAGGGAACAGAAAAGAGTAGCTTCAGTATTTTTCCCAGGCAAAAGGGAATCGCAGAAGGCTAGCGCCTCAAGAATTGTGCCCTCCTCTCTCAAGAATAGGGAGAGGTTTTATATTCTCATGAAGGTCCTGCCTTTTTTTGTTGTTGTTGTTGCAAAGTTTCAAAACGCCACAGTTAGCATCAGGCAACTCAGCAACTTTGACAGGTATCCCTAAAGTTATAGGCCCATTACCTTCTTTCTGAAATACAGAATGCTACAAGAGAGTCGGACACGACTGAGCCACTGAACTGACGAGAGAATACAGGGGGAGAAAAAAGCCAGGTGCAGAGTATAATCTACACGGAGTCAAAGAGCAATCCGCTTTGTCAAGGACGGGTCCAGCTACAAGTGTTTGTTAGTAGTAACAGCTGAAGAAACAAGCAACATCGTTTAACTCTTAGCTGGTATGTGCCAGAGGCCCTTCACTCATTTCTGGTTTGGCTGTAACAGTTTGGACCTGAAAAATACTTAGAAAGTAGAATTGACAGGACTGGGTAACCAATAGGACACGGAAAAGCTAAGGAATGATAAATAATCAGGAAGATTTTCCCAGGCTTCTGGGCAAGTAACTCAACAGATGCTATTGCCATTTTCTGAGGGGCAAAGAAAAAGAACCTGGACCTGAATATTTCAGAGGTCTGCAATCTCCCTAACAAAATCCATTCAGTTACTCCAAAAGCTCCTCTCTGTTTCGGCTTGCATATCTCTTTAACTGAAGCTTCCCTGGTGGCTTAAAGGCAAGGAATCTGCCTGCAATGCGGGAGCCCTGCGTCGGGAAGACCCTTAGAGAAAGGAATGACCAACCCACTCCAGTATTCAGGCCTGCAAAACCCCACCCCTTTAACGGCCTCCATGCAGTGGGCTGACTGCTTCGGCCGGCAAACCATCAAGAAGACTCTTCTCGCCAGAGGGAGCCCTTGCGCACGACCTCGAAGATGGGCGGCGGGCCCAGTAAACCGGAAGCTTTTCCCTCCCTAAAGTCCCCGCCCCTCAAGGTGTCATGGTGGCTCCGCCCCTAAGCCCCACAGCGGGTGGCCGAAAAGCGCCGGACCACTGACTCCGCCCCGCGGGAAACGGCCGCGGCCGCGCGAAGGCGCAGTCCCAGTGAGATCGCGTCTGGGGACAAGGCCCTTGGGGGCGGGGCTCCGTTTACGCCGGGGGCGGCCCGCCGCGTCACGTGACCGCCAGCCAATGGGCGCGCGCGACTGAGAGTTTGAACGCGGACGGCGGCGCGATCTGGGGTCTGAGGCTGGGGTCCCGGAGGTCCCGGCGTGCGTGCCCGGATCTTCCCGCGGAGCCTGGTGTGAGCACAGCGACAGCTGCGGCGGAAACCGTGGCCCAGGTACCGTTCCGGACCTCCCGCGAGAGGCGGGTCTGCGGGCCTCACGCCCGCCCGCCCCGGCTCGCCTTCTCCGGGGAGGGGGCCGCGGCTTTCCGGGCCCAGGGGCTTCGTGCCGCGCCCCCAGCCGCGGGGTCTCCCGGTCATAAGTTCGGCGGCCAGAAGCTCGGGCCTGGGGCCGGCCTGCCCTTCGCCCTTCTCCGAGTTCCTCGTCTGTTCAGTGGGGACTGAGCGTCCCGCCGCGCGGAAACTGGGAAGTGAAGCGTTCGCGGGACTCGAAACCCAGGCTCGAGCAGAAGGGCCCGCAGTCCGGCAGCCTGAGCAGGTGGCGTCCTTCGCTTTGGCCGCTTCTCACTCTGGAGAAGCCGCATTGGCTGGTCCTCCCGGCCGCCCAGCGGCAGGGGCGACGCAGGGTGAGGGTGGAGAGCTCCCGCCCTGGTTCTTTGGAATCCAGACCCCTAACCCGAGTCCAGTGCGGCCGTGTGTTGACTTCTTCTCCAGGCTGCTGGCTGCCACACCCCCTCTTAAGACCGTCGGCCCAGACGGGAAGGAAACTTCTGACGGGGCTCATCTCCTTTTTAATTTTAAGTTGACTTAATGTACGAACGAAAGTTTTTAAGATAGACTGTACTTTTAAAATAACTAAGCCAACTTGCTTAGTTACCTGATTTGTCTGGCTCGCAGACATATCCAGGTTTGAACTAAAGAAACTTCCTTGTGGTAGGTAGGGTGTTTTATACATCCCGCTTAATGTCAGCGCTTTAAAAATAGTAGTTGTCCTGGAGACATGCCAGTATATATTGTATCTGTATTGGCAGAAAGAAAATGTTTAAATGAAATCTACAGTGTCTGTATTTAAGAACCCAGAGGAAAATAAGGAAGGCCTGGAGAAAATACTCAAGAAAATGTAAGGTTCTGGAAAATATTTGACAAACTCAGAGGAGATGAAGATGTGTTTTGTAGTGAAAACTTATGTATATAGATTGCCATAGGAAACTAGAATTGTTTTTGTAGTTTTAAGACCTGCAGAGTACAATGTAGGGCAAAAGGTGTTCATGCAAAGTAGTCTGTATTTAGTAGCAAAATACTGATGCCATCATAGTGCCTAGTATAGAGTAAGCCCCCAGTATTTGTTACAGAATTAATAAATGGCATATTACAGAGTCTTTGGGTTGGAAATCTTATTGATTAAACCTTTCCTATAAAGTACCTGAGGAGGATAAAATTATGCCACAAATATTAATGTCATTTAAAAGCTACAAAATGTAGATTATTACCAGATTATCTACTTTGGGCTGATTCTACAGTTACAAAGCCTCTAATCATTTTTTATGGACAACCTGTGTTTTCAATTTTGTTTTATATTTGATACCACCCCTTCAAGAATTAAATGATCTCTATTATTTTTAAAGTCCTAGGGCAGAAGATGGCCAAGGAAAGATGTCTCAAAAAGTCTTTTCAAGATAGTCTTGAAGACATAAAGAAACAAATAAAAGAGAAAAGGAGTAAAAATCTGACAGAGATTAAACGAAAGTCTTTGATCATTGCACCATGCCAAACGACCAGTAAGAGATTTTCATGTTTCCTGTACATCATTTTAAGGTTAGATTTAATTACTGATAAAAAATTTTATTTTCTTTTAGCCAACACTTCCAAAGTGCTAAACTATGAAGACAACAACAGAATGTTAGCCTTAGCTTTGGAAAATGAAAAGTCCAAATTGAAAGAAGCCCACGATGTCATCTTAAAGCTGAGGAGAGAATGTTACTTCCTCAGTTATCAGCTATACACACTGAAAAATAAACTTACGTCACAACAGACAGAAGAACCTGCTCAGGTATTTTCATCGGGAAGGCTGGATTTCTTAGGAAGAAAATGTTAAAGCTTAAATTAGCAATTTAAATCAATTGTGTTTTTTAAATTAATTATACTGATAGCTCTGTTATTAGTGAATTGGTCAGAATGTCTTTTCTCAGTGCTCTAGCCCCATAGTTGTGTGTGGCCAGTTAAGAATGCTTCAAGCATACTGGTGACACTCCTATAACTTGCTTCCGAAAGAGTGTAGCAAGACAAGGTATAAAATAAATAGTTTAGCCTCTTGCATGGCCAGGCTCTTTGTTTTTTTTTTTTTTTT